TATATATATATATATTCCTTTGAATATTAACTATTGTTTATAGCAGTTAACAGATACTCATACCTTGTATGAGCTACCCAAACTCTATCAACTCTATATAGAATTTTTTTTTATTTGCAACACATATTCATATCTTACATCTACTATCTAAAACTCTACTTGCAAACTTTTCCCTCTTGAATAGCAACAGATTACTATTAAAGGATTAATATTACACCTGAAGTCATGGGTCTACTGACCTACGAACATTCTTTTGCAATACATATGAAATGTGTAAGTTCGCTCAACATTTTAGAGCGAAACTGTTTGGAGAGGGCGGTTTCACTTTTGTATTTGAAAGTGAATCACTAAGTTTGAAAACAACCTATTTACATACTCCTTGATTCAACTATACTTTATTAATTGTTTCTGTAAGTCTGGTTTCATCGTAAATTGTTATTCACAGTTAAATCGATAGTGTCGTATAGACTTGTTACACAGACCAATTAAATATTAATTACACAGTTTAAATGTTTGATTTGGAATTTGGTTTTATTTGGTTGTGATTTTTAATAACTAAAATGGAGATAGAAACCTAACTGTTCATAATACTTATTATTGACAAATACTTTTACGAAAATTTAGCTAGCTAAAAAGTCATCGTAAAAAATCTCCTATAGTCATGTGGGTATGATACCCGTTTTTTGGACAAATATCATAATCATATAAAGTAATTATTGCATTAGTTATATTTATTTAGAGAATATATTTCTCATATTGACCATCCAACAACTGTATATTATATTCACATTATGCATCTCCATATTTATTTATATTTCACCGCCTAACCACTGTAATCCGTTGTTCACTTTCATATCAATTTTACGTAAGTATAGTTAACCATTGCAGCTACAATCCGTTGTGTCATAGAGATTAAGGCTCCACAATTTTGTGACCAATGGCATGATTGTAACAATGTATAGTCAGCATTGCACTCAGGACGCTTTTACTTCCTAAACAAGTAGGTATCATCGATCTGAAGCTGGGTGGGCTTCAAACCGCCACTTGGGTTCGAACCACAGTTCTTCACAATGACAGTTCAGTGCGTTAACCACTGAACCAACGAAGCTCTAAATTCAGTTTAGTTAACCATTGCCGCTACAACCCGTTGTATTAAGGCTCCAGAATTTTGTGACCAATGGCATGCTTGTAACAATGTAGTCAGCATTGCACACAGGACGCTTTTACTTCCTAAACAAGCTGGTACCATCGATCTGAAGCTGGGTGGGCTTCAAACCGCCACTTGGGTTCGAACCACAGTTCTTCACAATAACAGTTCAGTGCCTTAACCACTGAACCAAACGAGGCTCTAAATTCACATAAAAGGGTTGTTTATGCCGCATTTTTTTCTTTAGTTATATTTTAATACATTTCACTCTGTTTCTCGTCATTCACCTTTGTATGGCATTGACGTGAAATTATTATTTATACAACACTTATTATTATTATTATGTTTATGTTAAGACACTGTTATAATTGTGTGGCCAGCTCTTTTCCGATATACTAACATATAATTATAATTACATGTCATAAATAATTTATTTACTTAATTTATGTTTCACATAAAACTATAATTCGTTATCTCTTTTTAATTTCAGTGATGAGGAAGATGAAATAAATAGCGATGATTTAAGCAACAATAGGAAAGATTCAGATGATTCAAATAAATTTGTTCCCGAAAAAGAACCAAACTCAAAAGAAAAAGAACCGAAATTGGATCAAACCTCAATGTATCATTTAGGACAGATTTCGGCTTATATGAAGCAGATAGAAAGTAAGCATACAGCTGCATTCAGATTAAGCTATTAATGCTAGTAACAAATTATGGTTTATATATGAAAAACACCTACATACAACAAAGTTCGTTCGTTCGTTGTAGTCTGAGTTCCCATATATGTAAAAAGTGGTAGTCCATATTGCTTTTAATCTGTTATCTACCACTTAAACGTTGGTAAGCATTATGCCTTGATTTCAGATCCAACTATAGATATTTATTTTATTAATATGCAGGGTGATTCATAATTCCCTCCGGGGTTTCGAAGCGTTATAGTGAAAAGACGAATATGGCAAAAAAGAACATATGAAGTTATTCCGAAAGTATTCAAGTTTTAATTTAAGCAGTTGCCGGTAGATGGCAGTATCATGTACCACGGAAACCAGTTGTAGTAAAGAAAAATGACGTTTACAGGCGGAGGGAATTATGAATAACCCTGTATTATGGTAGACATAACTACCTTGTTTCAACAAAATAAATCTTTCTAATGTAACAATTGCGCTACCACTTCTTTCTTTTTTGGAAAAAAGGAAATGTACTTTTGAAAGAACGCTTTGCTCAGAGAAGTTAACAGTAATCATCAATAGTGCCAACCTCTAGAAATATTGAGGGGAAAAATCCACTACTGTTTTATAAGGTTATCACAAATTTTATAAACTTTAATTTCACGTTATTTTTAGGAATACCATCGGGCAATTAAACACAGATAATAATTTTAAATAGTGTTAGTCTCTATATGGGTCATTCTCACGAAAACTGTCATTTTTCAGTTCATAAAACCTCCAAAAAGTAAAGTGAATAAAAAGCTCTGAAACTTTTTATATTAATAGAAATATGTAATGGCATTATAAAGAAAGTATATATCCTATAAATTATACTTAATATTTAAATTAATTAATTTTTTAAATAATTAATTTATAATTAATTAATTTATAATAATTAATAATTAATTAATT